AATATGAATATGAATATTACAATAGTAGGTTTTTATCATATAAATGAAACTTATAGTCCTGTACATGTTCTTCTGAGGCAAGACAGGTGGACAATAAATACAAGGGTACACATAAATAATTTAATTCTCTCTTGGAGGCAAACACTGAAGGAGAATGTGTGTTGCTTGTAAAAGCTGAACCACATTTCCTGTTTGTAAGAAAGAAGGTGAAAAAAAAAGACTGGAGGGATTTGAGATTAACAGCAACTCTAAAGACAGGTTCATGCTGCCAGGCTCGAAACAAGAGTATCCAACTTCTGCCAACATAACTTGATTTCCTGTTGGATAAAGGAGAGGGGAATATTCCTAGAAGCAACAGGATCAGGTAATCCTTATCTTTTAAACTTGTAAGCATTGGAGCAGAGGAGCCGTGCTATGTAGATTCGCAGTCTTCTACAAGGTGGCTCAGGGTGCTAAACCTTCATTAATTAAGGCATTGATTTTATTCTGAAAATTCTGTGCTGTGGGCCTTCTTATTTTACCGTGTGCTGTTTCCGTTCTGAAGTATGAAGCTGATATCTTACAAAGCAATTAGTTGTGCGCTAATTAATTGCAGTTTAAGGAATCTTTTTCAGAGAATTAATCCTGTATTAAATGCTCACACAGGTGGAAGCATTTTTAATGCTAATTTAACATTCATCAGTCTCTTAATGAGTTTCTTTTTCTAAGGGCCATTAGGACAAAATATTACTTATATCGATGTTTAATTGGAAGGGGGGAGGAAAGACAGTTTTATGTAATCGTTAACAAAATTGTAGACAAAAACGAGAGGAAAGAAAGGAAAGAAACCATTCTGTTCTCCAGATTGTCACCATAAATCTGGTAGCAATTAATCTGCCTCTGTGGATAACACATTGATACCACAGATGGCATGTCCAGCTAGATGGTTTCTATGTTCCTCACCTCATGTTCTTTTCAGTACTGGTAGAAGTAGCCTATCTCCCTGTTATCCTTTGTGATGGATTCTCTAAACAAAATATTTAAGAGCAAGGAGGAACAAAACATAGCATTTCTGCTACCTAATCTTATGCTGTTAATAGGACAAATATGCAACACAAATTGTTAAATCTGACTCCACTTCCTACAGGTAAGTGAGTACAGGATTATATCCATTTCTTTGAGTTGCAATAAAAGGAAGAGCAGAAATTCACCCAGGAAAGATTAGAATGTTTTGGAGGCTTTTGTTTTTTTGGTTGGGTTTTATTTTTCTTCTTTTCCCTCACAGTGACAATAATAATATAATGAAGCCTGTAAAGAGAAAATCTAAGAACAAATTACCAAAACTATTTATTCCCATGTTTCTGTTGGTGGAGAAAGTCGTCAATAGTCTTTTAAAGAGAAAAAGCACAATTAACTATGTATTTAGAAGGTCTTTTGTTTGTCTATATTTTGTGGTGTGAATTTAGTACATTCAGTTTAAAACACTGGAAAATATACTAAGAGGTGGTGAGTAACCCATCCCTGAAGTCATAAAAGTAAAAACATTATCCAAATGAAGTAACTTACCTAAGACACAGACGTTCTACTTGGATGCTACTCCAAGTTTAACCTGGTTTTCAAAGATAAGTGGAAGAACAGCGGCATAAGAATGTGTCATTAATACTAGAGAGAGTCTGATATTAGTTAATCAAAATACTGTCATCTTTATAATTATTAAATATAATATTTCTCCACTCACACATTCCAAAGTCTACTAACAATATTACAAATATTGTCCCCTCTCATGAAACCTTGGGTATGTAATGAACATCTTCCTTTCACAGAGGAGCACATTACTTTAAAAGACTTCAATATTATTTCTGTGACAGATAGACTGTCACAGAAAACCCTGATGGAATTTGAGCTTATAGTTTTAGAATCATAGTGTCCTATTCTCAAGCAGCCTAATTATTCCATATGACATTTTTCAAAAGATACAAAACATTCTTTTTTTTAAAAATATTCAATTTGATGGCTTGAATAAGATGGTCCCTGAATACAGTGTCACAGGTTCTTTGGACTAATTATATGTTACATAAAAAAAGATTATTATAGTTTTGCTCCATTTGAGAATAGATGACTTGCATGAGAATTAAAATTAGAGAATAGAATAAAAGACAACATTTCAAAATGGAATATAATTAGTCTAATAGACTTGATGCTTATTTCTCAGTCACCATCTACAGTCTCCTTTTCTTATTTTTGTCTTTAGCACAACCTGTTAACCCTGAGAAGCTGCATCTGCTATTGTACATTTAGGGAGTGCAGTTATCTGTGGAGACAAATTGTTCTTCACACAGTTGGTCAGTTTTCCTTCTAATGCTGCTGTTGTCAAAGTAGTTAATATTGAAATCATGCAGTTACAAATGTAAGCGTATCAGAAAGACCTATAAGAAAAAGAAGACATAGGAAAGATCTGGGAGTTGCATATCTGTAAAGCTAGGATATAAAACTGGATTTTCTCATATTTCAAATCTGGGTATATGATTAGCTTGAAACTAATGTTAGAATGGAGTGGAGCTCTCAGAAGAGCGCCAGTAAATCTCCGATCAAGGTGTTTACTATGGTTTTGCGGGCTAGGTAAAAACTGCTGTTGTTTCTCCCAATAAGTAGTGTTGTCTGACAAACAAATAGCTAGTATTGCAAAAACAAACAAACAAAAATATACTGAAGTCACACATATGTTTGTATACATTCTGCTGAAACACAAGCAGATGTTTAAGTTAGTATTATGGAAAATAAATTTTAAAATAAACTAAGTAGTGTTCATCCAGGAAGAAATTTAAATGTTCTTTTCTTAATCTACCCACACCCAAGAAATTTCCTAAATCATGCTTAAGAACTATAGATTGTGAGATTTAAAACATTGTTACATTTTATGAGAAATCCAAGTTTCATATCTTTTTTTTTCCTAAAATGTTTTTTAAATTCTTGAGAAGTAGGATGGCTCAAATACTATAGAATTTAAACTTGAAAACTAAAAAGAAAAGAATTTTATCCATCCTTTACTATTTTCCAGATAATGATTTCAATTTCAATCAAAAGCTGAAACATGAAAATAATACTTGTCAACAAAAAGTGGGCCAGTTAAGGACTGGAAATAGTCAAATTGAAACGAAGAGTTTTCCTTCTACTCTGGAAACACCAGGCAAAAATTGGATTCCTGAATCAGAGAGAAAAATGACAACATTCTACAAGAAGAAAAAGGAACAATGTTAGATCATGACTGTACTTTCGGTACCTGCTCACTCTTTTTGTTCTGATGAACCTCAGTGTTGTGGCTTGTGGAATGGACTGCCCAGGGAGCTGGTGGAGTCCCTGTCCCTGAGGTGCTTCAGGAAAGAATGACCATGGCACTGAGTGCCATGGTGCAGGTGGCAAGGTGTGGTTTAGTCACAGGCTGGACTCGATCATTTCAGAGGACTTTTCCAATATGGTTGATTCTGTGATTCTATCACATTTACATGTGCTTCCCTTCTCATAGGCCACAATACTGCTTCTGCTCCCTGGGAAAAGTGTTTGTAGGAAAAGAAATATGAAATGAACACGAGAAGAATGGAAACCAATCACACCAAAAAAGAAAAAAGACAGGAGAAGAATGAGAGGATTCTCATTATTTAGGTACAACAGTGAAACTTGAAATTTCTTGTCCTGGACAGACTTCTCGTTTTGGACAGGTTGCATGGGATGCAATATTAAGTGACTAATTGCACAGTAACCAGGTTCCAAAGACTGATGATTCTTGATGCATCCTGATAATATCTTCTCAGTGTATGATCTCTCATTCTTTTAATTCCTTCCCTGAAAAACTGGAATGATGTATAGCTGCTCCATGGGGATGTTTTCTCTCCTCATAAATGTCTGTATCTCATTGCATAAAAGTGCCTTTCAACATAAAAAGGAGTATTGCAGTGCAAAAGTACTCTCAAACACCTTTGGGAGAACTCAAGTAGTAGAAAGGGAGGGAAAGAGAACGTTTAGTTTAAAAAGAAGAATAAATGGTCACTGAAAGTACCATGTGCAAAAAAAGATAAAAGTCTGTCAGAAAACTACAGCTTATTTGCTTTGTGTTGTTCCTTTTAAAAGAGCATTCTGATCAGGAAGGAAACCTGCATCCCAGAAGCCCAGGTAATTTGTGATTTTTTACTACCAGGGCTTATCTCCTCTTGTTTTGTCGTTATAAGAACACCTGGGGGTTGGAGTACAACAAAACAAAAAGAGCTTTGGCAACCCCAGTGCAATGAGGGGGCAAAACCTGTAAGAAGGTTTTGAGCCAGAGCCCAGTCAGGCACGGAACAAAGCTCTGCTTTCTCAGCAAATGCATTGCCACCCTCCCCTGGCCAGCAACATGGAAAAGTGCATTCCTGTACTCCTGTAACTCGCTTTACTTAGGAAACAAACAAAGTGTGGCCTTCCAGGGAATCCAGGTATGTCAAAAAACAACAAAGTGCTCTAAGGATCAGTATTGTCCAACCCAGCCCCTTAACTGCTCTGCTCCAGCCACGCGTTTCTTTTTATGCACTATTAGAGGCCATTAGTTTTGGGCACCAGGCTTTATTTCAAACACTCTAAATCTCAGAGAACATGAAATAAGCCTCTGGGGAAAGTTAAGAATAAAGCTGCAAGCTCCTTTCACTCATTTATTTGGCTCAGTGTTTCCTCTGTCACAGAAGGCTTTCGCAGGCCATTCACAGCAACCCTGATAATTTTGGCCAGTAGACAGCCACAAATAGGCTGGTTTGTGATGGAAAATTTGTATAAGCTAGGTTAATCAAATAATTAATTAAATGAAAAAACAGATTTTGGGCAGGGGGGTTCTTTCCTGTCTTTCTTATTGCAAGGAGTGGCAGGTTTAGAGCAAAAGAGGATTTTGTTCAGATAAGTAGACCCACCTTTCACCAAGTGATTTTCTAGGAGCTGTTTGAACTCTTCCTTGGGGCTTCAATGGTTCCCAGCTGATGCTTATCCTTTACCATCACTTTCCCTGGTTTCTCAGGAAAGAAAATAAGAACAAGTAAAACAAGTAAGAGGTTTTAATAGCTGGAAAACAATGCAAGAAAACATAACCAAATTTTCACTTTTTTTCAGGGATTGTTAAAATGCTACAGTCTTAGCTATTATTCTGAGACACATCCAGCAAATTTGTTTTGGCTAAATTAAGAACTACTTTCATGAACTCTAGAATTTAGCTAAGAATGTACTTAATTTACTACAAACACTAACTTAAAGACAACTGCAAGAATAATTTCAAAGCTGTCCAGTAAAATTACATTCTTCTTTATTAATTTAGGATTTTTACTGCATCTTACAGGCAAACCAATAGCTTAATCTTTGGCTGAATTCCTGTGAAACAGTATTTCTGCTAACAGTTTATTAAAGTTGCTTTCTTAATATTTAGCATCTGATTTTGATATTAATTATTTAGCTTGTATAGCAATACCTGTCACAGAGTAAACAACAAAACAGCAGCTTTGATTACAGAAACCAAAAACTAGCCAAGTACAAAGAGAATACAGAAATATTGTTAGACAACACATATAGTAAATTTTCTTTCAGTTACAGGAATGGACTGCCATTTTTCTGTCTGGGGAGTTTTGGCCTTCCTGAGTTTGTCTCTGCTTGTTTCAGTGACACTCAATATTGTACACTGTATGAAAAAGAAGCAATGTAAGTAATGTCTCTTTGTAAGAAATCAAATTTCAATGTTTAAAGCCATCCCTGCTCAGAGCTATCAAGTCGACAAATTGATTCTTCTGAATCTTAAAGTTAAATTTTGGCAAGAATGATTTTACTAGAGAAGATTTATCTTTTGAAAATTTTTAAGAGTCAGGTATGATTACAGAACAATTGCTAACTGCCCAATCCACAGCTAAAAACAAGTACCCAAATCCATTCTCTGAAGGTAAATCAGCAAAACAGGAAGAATTTAATTCTGACTAAATTTTTATTTTTAAAATCTATTTTTTAATACCTGCAGTTTCCTTTCCTAGGAAGTATACTTTTCTTATAACTGATTATTATGTATATTTCCATTTAAAAATTATTTTAAGTAGATGCATTGATAGAAAATACATTTGAGAAAATTTTCTCCTCCCCAAATTCCTGAATGCTCATTTGAATTTCAGATTTCATATAGATTTTATGCCTTATCAGTGTGTTTTGGAAAAACATTCTAATTGCTTTTCATAATAGGATTCTAATGTGTTTCTTAAACCAGTGTGTCTCTCATATGGCTGCAGTCATACTCTGGTTTTGCTTGAAATTAACTTTTACTTTTTGACAGATTGTGCCAGTTCAGCCTGCCTTATGCATGTGATTCTATGTTTAGGAAGTTATACAGTTCTCACCATTCCCTTTACACAGGGAAAACTGCCCCTGTGCTGTACATGTAGGGGTGGGCAGGCAAACACTGGTGACTTCAACAAGGCTAAATACACCTGTGTATATAATCCACATAAACAGAGGGCCTGTGCCTATAAACTGAGCTCACCAAGTATTAGAGAGTCAGATATTAATTCACAGGATATTAAGAGAGTTGCTGGAGTCTTTTGGGATGGGTATCAGTTGAGCTTTTTGTTTGTGTTTTAGGGCTACTAGGCAGATGTCTCTATGAAGAAGAATCACACTCATTTACAAAACTAACCTGACAAAGTCTGAGGTCAGAGTGGCTGATGCTGCATTAGTCATTGAGTTGGAGCTTACTGTGGTAAATTCTGGAGTCCTGGAGCAGAGTTTAGAAAGTCAGGCATTCCTGAATTATTCATCAGGCTCTAGCATGAAATCTCTTTGTAGCCATTGCCTCTCTGCTTCAGTTTCTTCATCTGTGTGGATCACAGGATCTCTTTTTCAGCCATACCAGAACCAGTGAAATAAATAAACGATCATTTTGTAACATTAACACGATTCACCTCCCCAGAGAAAATCTGTGAGAAAAAAATGAGGGTAAAGGAGAATTTGGAGGAAATAAAGAATTAATCACATGTGTTACAATATGTTTTTTTGGGTACTGTAAACTAATGCAGACTTTGTAGACACAGCACAGGGCCATAACACAAACATTTTTTGTATTTGACAAAATATTTGAGAAAAGTAAAGGGACAAATGAAGATCCTGAGAGACAAAGCTTTCAGCTGTATTCTCTAAAACAAAACCAAAACCATGCCTGTGAGACTGAAGTGTTCTAAAATTATGTTTCATTTTCTCTTTTCTTTTTCAAAAAAAAATCCAGCTAAAATGTATAAAGACTATGAAGAGAACGATCCAAGGTAAGTTGTATTAAAAAGTTTTTTTTCTGGCAAGGGTAAAATATGCAATAAATAATGACAGATGGCTTTGGAGGGATGGCATAGAGGAAAATTCACTATCTCATGCAGTCTGCCTGGAAATGTTGGTAGTGGAAAAAAAATTTCAAAAAACCTAGGGAAAAAATATTCACATCTGAGATACATACTCCAGTCATTTTATCAACAATGAAATAATTGCATGCTAATACTATTTTATCTGAAAGTGCAAGGTATTGAGATAAACCACCTTTATCTATCACTTATAGTCAATAATTCCATAATAATTTAAAAGAACTCTCAGCTCTTACAAAGCAGTTACAAAATATAGTCTGATAGTTAATACTTGTGGAGTGATAATTTACATGTATTTACATTTGGTAACCATATTTTACACATAGCATCCAAAAGCAATAAAAAAGGCTGTTTACAGCTGTAGGATATCTCATGATCTGTTGCACAAATCTGTTTCAAGTCTCTCTCTCTTACGCCACACAGAAGAAAACGCCAAACCAAGACCAACTTTAGAAAACAGAGATGCATAGAGTCTCATCGCAACCCAAATATAAAAGGCCCTTGAAATAAAAATACAAAAGCCTGCACCTGTTACCCAAATCCAATTCTCAGTTACAAATTTTCTTGAAATTAGAAAATCTCTATTTGTCTTTTACTGCCTGTTCAGATGAAAAATACCACTGAATGTGGTGTTAGAGGACAACTTCACCCGCTTGATGAGATGCAATATAGGGGTGCAGTAGGAAGGTTACAAAGTGCTTCCCACTAACAATTCCCATTTAACAAATCCACTTAAAAACATTTTCAAGTAACACCAGGTAATGAAACACAATATGCAATTAAAAATGCAAAGCTGATGGTCTTCTCTGCTTGTGTTGACCGAAGTATTTTAATTCAATCAAGAGGGGACCTTTTAAGAACATCGTCCCAAAAGACAGATATGGTGCTTTAGTTTGTATTGCAGAGTGGTCTCAGAGGACATGAACTGCGTTCCTTTCAGTGATCATCAATATTTCTTATCCTACCTCAAAGTGTAGCTTAATAGTCTTGAGATTAGCTTTGTGCTTGATGAAGTGACAGGGAAGGAGAGTTCAGTTCTGGGCTAGGTAACAAACCTCTCCTGAGAACACCCATACTGCCATTTCTGCCCCCTCTGATATTTCTCATCTTGTTTATAAGATAACAAACAATCTGCTACATATGGATATACACACACAATCTGCATATGTGCATAAAACATTTACTAAAATATAGTATTGGGGTGCTAAATAAAGCATATTCTGTGAATTAAAAGTATTTTTTCATTCCCCTTGTAGCTATGATGGCTATCACACAGAAGATTATCCAGTTTATGGCAATCTCAATCAAGATATTTTAGGTAAGCTTCATTTTAGGAACACGTGTCTATTCAGTGGCTATAAAAATGTATGATTAAAAATGACTGACATATTTTGCATTTCTCAAACGGCAAACGTATGAATCTACATATTTTCAACTATTGATATAATTGAAATTATTAAAAGATACTTGGGACAGAAATGCAAACCTTCATACTGCACTACTATTTATAAGAACAGATCTCATGCTGAATTTGATTTTTAACAGTCCATATGTTCCTATTCAGCCAAGTATCTCAAAATAAAGAGCTTGTCTAAATGTAAAGCTACACTAACAGAAACAGCAGCTTGATCCATGCCTATTAAAGCAATCTAAATCACATATTACCTCACGGCCCAAGGTCAGTGCTCCCACCGAAGGAGGCAGAAACAAACACATCCCAGCTCTTGGCTGTGGCTATCCACAAATCACCAGCGACACTGACAAATGTGCTGAAGGCCAGCAGCTGAATGGTGGGCAGACAGCTTGGCTCTGCTCTACCGTGCTCAAGTTAACAATCCTTGGCAGAGACACATTAAAGGCTGTAACATCATGTAGCTGCAGCGACAGCTGGATGTGCAGAAGGTTTCAAAGCCCTTATAGAGTTAAAGCAATATTTAAGTAACGAGAATAACTTTTTCTGCAAGCCTTAATTTGAGCTAAGTAAAACTAAAGCACTTCAACTGCAGGGGGAAAAAAAGCCCAAACAAACCCAACTTTTTCATACACAGTTTGCATAAATTGAACCAAGTCAATGCTCAAATGCAGTGACATTGTAAAAGTCTGCAAACTGTAAGGAAGTAATCTGTTTTACTGGTGGCTAAAATGAGATATAACATGAGAAAATAACTAGAACTGAATTTACAGAAAACTGAAGTAGACTCAGGAACAAAATTTAATCACCAGCTGCTGCAACTCACAACCTCTTCCTCAGTCAAAGAAAAGGCTGCCTGTGCTGAAAAATTAATCAGTACGTGGCTACCTCTTAATTGCAAGAAGTCCTCCTACCACTCTAAAATGACACTCATATAAGTAAATAATGAGAAACCTCTCCTTCATATGAACACAATTATTTCCATTTTCACAGTATGTGTCTGAATTTCTTAGCTATTTACCTCTCTATAATTAGAGGGAGAGAACTGTGTGTGATTTCAAAACAAACACCCTACCAAAGCAAACTGGGGGGAGTTTAGAGCATTAATTTAATTTAATGTTAGAGCACATTAATTTAATTTAATTTAATTTTAGAGCATTCTCTAACAGATAAAATCTGTTGGTCTGATCATTTAAGACTCAGTATCATGTCTTAATAAAAAGATTTTTCTACTTTGATAAATTACAGAAGAATGTTGTTACGAGCAGATGAAGTCCCAGCCTCAAAGACCAGTTAACCAGCTACAGGTATCTTTAATTTTAGTTACAGATTTCTGAATTAGAGTAATATGGTATGTCTCAGAGTTCCTTTATTTATTCTATAAGAGTATATAACAAAAATCTTCACAATCTCACAAAAATTACCATGTATTAGTATCTCAGTTCATCAAAGTATTTCAGTACAAACTCGACCCTCCATTTAATCTGAGTCATTAATAAGGAAGCATTATTATAGATGGTTCAGATCCATGCAATAGAGCATAATAAAGCTCAGCCATAGGCACGAAGATCACGTAGAATTAAATTTGCATCCATGGCTAATATAAAGAATTAATTTTATTTGGTTTAGTTATCAACCAAGAGAAAACACAAGCTGCATCACATGATGCTCATGAGTTTGACTGGGTGTCTCCTGTCCAGTGCAAAATCTATATGCTTTAACCAGGGAAAGATTATTTTCTATTGATTTGTACTTTGTTGAGATGCATGAAAGCTTCAAATGAAATTTGCCTGTGATTGAAGCATTCCTGGCATCAATTTCCTGAGTTGACTGCCACATATTTCATAGGGACGGATTTTCAAACTCTCTCACAGGGTATTTCCAGCAGGTAAAGAACAACTTTTTAAATCTAGACATTTCAATGTCAACAGTCATTGATGGTCTGGCTTGAAAAAGCACAAAAATCAGGGGAAAGACACAAAAAGCACACATTTTGCACTGGAAATGAGATCATATATATAGACAAGAATCATCCATCTTTGAATTTCTGCACAAACAAAGCCTAATAACAGGATTCCAACTAAAAAATAAAAAAGTGAGAAGAAAATCAGATCAAATAATGTCTTGCATCCCAATGAATCTGGATTTATTACATGAGCTTCCCTCTTTTCCACAGACTCTTTCTAGTGGATACCTTGATGAATTTTTCCATATTGCTACTATCAGTCATTTACCATTAGCTTATATTGATCTGTTTTCCATTCTCCCACAGTTTAATAATTTGTACTTTTAATGAGCTGTTTTACAGCTAGTTTAGGCAAATTACAAGCAGGATTATGATTAGAGCATAGACATATTGGAAGACTTAGACTTTAAAGCAAGGATAACTACTGAACGTAAAGTGAATTTTCTTTCAGGTGGAGTCAGCCAGTCAGATGTGTTATGCCTCACTTGATCACAGTGTCAAGGGAAAATGCAGAAAACCAAGGAGAAAGAAAGATCCTTCATTAGAGGAAGATGAAGGAGAAAGATCATCTAACCCCATGGTGGCTTCCAAAGTTAGCATTTACCTCAACAGTGAGCAGCTGGCTGCCGAAAACACGGCGAAAGAAGAAGCCATTCACGATGATCCCGTCAGATTAATGGGCTTGATTCATAATACAAAAGGGGAGAACTGAATATGTAATGAACCAAATATGTAACCATAAAGTGAGATTTGCTTTTTCATTCTGGAGGACCAGAAAAATATTCCGGAAAGCCGACATACTAAACAGTGGTATGAAATGGACAAGTTAAGTGTTCCAAACTGTCTGCCAAACATATTTATAGACTAAGCAAGACATAGGTCCAGACTGCCACTCAGATGAATCTGCCCTTCTGAAGACAGTTTGAAAGAGTTGCAGAAGCTGGTAGCTCAGCCTTCACATGGTAGTGATTCCAGTAAGAATTGATCCTGTTTTAAATATCATCAGCTTTCAAGCAGTCCTAAAAGACCCCCTTGTTGTCTATACAGCTCTAGCAGAGTACATCTATTCCATATTAACTTCAATACTTTTGAAATGAGATTGTGTTTCGTACTTGCACACTTGGTGATTAGTTGTTTCACCAAATAAGAACTAATCTGCTGTTCCACGGTGTGAACTTGCTGACTGTGACTAGTCTATGGCAATGACTGGAGAATAATTTAACAGCTGATTTAAAGTAGTAATTGTACATTTCATGAGACTTAGCAGTATCTTTGTGTATCTTTAGTTTTCTCTAACAATCCTAGAATACATCTCAAATCTCAACTCCTCTACTAGTGTAATATTGTATACAGCTGTATTCAAGGGTTCACAAAGATTATCACACCACCTGTAACAATAAAAATAGGAAGGATTTCTTCCAATACCCATGTTATGTTTGCATTCCTATTAGGTTTTCCATTGCCATCCTTAACTATTTTACAAAAACAACAAGAGCTTTTTATTTCCCCAAACCCTTCACTTACTGTATGCACATTTATTTGAAGACTAAACTCTTTAAATGGTAAGTTTTATAGAGTGGGTATCTGTTTTATATATTTTATATTCTGGGAGTCATTAAGTAGTTGCAACAGGAAACAATAAAGCAAGTTGATGTAATGTGTCTGCCTCTAGGTGTCAGACACTTCTGCCTTCTCAAAAAAACAGGATATTTGAGCCTTTAAAATCCACAGATCAGTGCCAAGGAGCTTAAAACTCAGAAGAGCACAGAGCCCTAAAACTGCGTCAGGTCCTGAGAGGTAAACCTGGAAACGAAAGGCCCATAGTACAGAGAGCCAACACCTTCTAACAGTAGAAATGGATAGACACATCAAGGGATGACATAAATTTATTAAAAAAACCCAACAAAACCAAAAAACCAACAAACAAATAAACAAAGCCCAACAAAAAGAAAAAATGGTTAAATTCAATCCGTCATTTCAATCTGGTAACTAATTTAATGGAAATGAGGTACCCATTTCTCTCATTGAGTGTACATGTAACATAGGGTTACATGTTACATGTTAAAATCACTTCACGCGATTTAACTACATTTAGTTTCCTTTCTATTCTCGGTCTTCATCGTTTAGCCCAGCTATGTGTTTACACTAAATTTCATCAGCTGCTTTCCCTTGCAAGAGAGCTTGGTCAAAGAGCATTTTTGTAAATATTCTCCATATATATCTATACACACTTCCTTTCCACATTTAATCACTGCCACCAATAAATTATTGATTGTGGCTCTCAGGATGATCTTTAACAGCCTATCAACTATTTCCAAGGCATTTGTAATGCTGCCACATTCAAATTTAGCTTTATTCTTTTGGCTCTTTACCCTCCATCTGCTTAAACAAGAAATCAAACAATCTCATTTTTTTTTAAACAAGTTTAGGGGTAGTTTTCAAATGACTACTAAATCCTTACATAAAAAAGCATGTTCAATATTGTTCCATCTTCAAGACATTAGAGAAAGACCTACATAAACTATCATATTGTCCTAGGTTGACTATAGGATGCATTTATCCCAAATTGTCTAGTTCTGTTTATGCTGAATAATAAGTTTTGCACCTTTAAGACTTGTTGCAGAGAGTGAAGGGGGCAGAGAAGGAGTGCACAGTTTGTTTTCAGACACTGCACTCACTCCTCCACATTCCTGCTCCTGACTGTGTTGTCTGCGGATGGACAGACAGTGGGACAGAGCTCTCCTTTGCTTTTAGTTAGTTTAGCTAGCTGAGGCAAAGTTCCCTGGACTGTGGGCTTTTCCTTTTTCCCTTTTCTTTGGAGCTGTTCAAACCTGCTCTGGACTGAACACCCAGGGGAGCACCGGCAGCTCACACCTGGGGCCCACCGGGCCGGGCCTGGCCTGCGACATTTCCAGCACTGAGGGACTGATCAGAGACTGAGTGAGCTGAGCTGCAACCCGGGGAGGGACTTTCTGAGTTTGTCATCTCTTTTGGAGCAGCAAGGGGTTTTATTAATATTGTTTAGGTTTTATTGTGTAATAAAGTTTTTTCCACTTTTCTCGAAGGAGGTATTTTCTCCTGGACCGGTTGGTGGGAGGGGCCGATTGAATCTGCTTTCCTAGAGGAGCCCCTTTGGGGTTCTCTCCCAGATTTGCCATGAACCAGGTAAACTCTTTACATATAGAGAATGTAATTAGTTACAACTAATAATAACATAAGAAGAGGGGCTAGGTTCTAGGTTTACACTGTCTCAGTAACCTTATCTGTTTTTCCACTGTTTCTTTAAAAAAAATTTATAGCAAAGAGAAGCAATGTAAAGTTTTTTTTTATTAACAGTAAGCTTAGCATTCAAGTACCAGTTCAATGGAACAGTGAAGAATGAGTAAACAAGAGGAAATATGGTGGAAAAAGCAATACTGTTTGGAGGGTTAGAAGAATGGAACTCAAAACACAAGAGATCACGTAGCACCATTGACATCTTTATAAGTTGAGGCAGATGTATTCCAGCAGTAATTACAGGATTTGATAAATCACTGCAGATGTACCTGGCTAAACATACCCGGTCCAGCAGTTAGCATCGTTAGGAGAAAGAACAGACTTTTGCTTGTATCATACTTCTAAGAGTCTGCTGGCTAACATGGTTTAGGAGGATCAACTATAAAACTAGCACCCAAAACCATACCATTGGTATGATCTTATCTTCCAACACTTAAAAGGTTTTCCAAGAATGACCTCTTTAAATTATTTCAAAGTAATCTTCACAAAGACAATTTTGCTATGTTGAATCAACCAACTTACCTTCCCTTACCTGTCTGAGCTGCACTGAGGTTGCTGTTTAGAAGTCATACCTAGATTCAGAACCAGTCCAAACCACAATTCCAGTTGACTTCTAAATTACTTTAGAAAACAATAAATTAATTATGCAATCTCTCAATACTAGTGTATCAAGAAATACTGGGAAATAATTACCTCAACAAATCCAAGAGGAAGATAGCTCATAAAACATATTCCCTACAGTGCATCCGTGTCTGGAAAAGGAAGAAAAAAGAACCCCAAGAGCATTTCTAGAAGATAGTATTTTGCTACTGTCATGGAAAGACATGCAATATCCAAATTATGAAGGGTGGAATGTGTGTGCAGAAGTTCATATTGCAGAGAAAACTTCACTAGAGCTGGCTTCTTGTCCTAAGAACAGTACTTAAGATAACAAAATTCTGGTTCTAAGAGCTAAAATAAAACCCTCCTGTGTGTCTGGAAATAAAGTCAAAGAAAACCAATTTCTTCCTTTTCTGAAGCCCAGAAAGGTAGGGGCAGTGCTGATAAAACAGCAAGTACCTGATCTGACACCACTAACACAATCCCTTTGCCAAGAGAGGACACAGCAGTGAAAGCCTGTGGGACCCTCATACCTCATTCTCATGGATGTCCTCATGCAGATATACAAACTCAAACTCCTCCTGAGAATTCACATATGTGAAATAAAATGTTGAAGGCAGGTATTTGTTCAGAACAGTTTTTTATTTAGAACATATACTGTGTCATGTACAATTTTGTCAAAACACAGAATGCAATTATCAAACCTATTAAACAGGTTTATTGAACAAAAAATTTTATTGAACAACGAACTCTGGAAAATTTTAACATTAACATTGCATAGCAGACTCAAGTCATAGTACATAGCAATGATTTTTGGGTCTGTACTGATGCATTCAAAAAGAATGAATAGGCAGCCATTTAGGTTATTCCTTATTATTAAGACAGTAAGAATCAAAGCTTATCAGCAAATAAAAAGAATACAGATCACACTGTTATTACAAATACCGTCAAATATAAAAATCCAACTTAGCCATAAATTGAGTACTAAGTGCCCTGTTAAAAGGGACGAACCTTTTCCAAAAGATTTGAACTACAATGAAGTATAAATCAGAACTATTTGTGTATTGCTTACATATAGTTATACATTCTTGATTCTTGGAAGAAGAAACAACACTGAATAAAACCCAACCTATATAAAACTTTTTTAACTGTAACAGTGCGTTAATGCTTCTTGGTGAGCTTCAACCAGAGAGTCATCCAAGGCATTCCTACAACTGGTCTTTCCCATCAGTGAAGCTTAGTTTTCTGTATACTCTAAGGAAAAAAAACCCAAAACCTTTGTTTAGATGACGGAGTAAATTACACAAAAGTACTGTATATTTGCTGAAACTCCAGTGAACAGGATGAAATTGAAACAAATTGTCAAAGCAAGGTATCTGAACATCTTGACTGTCAAGAGCAGCAGGGTTCCTTGTCTGCTTTCCTATGTGCTTTCACATGGAGAGAAAGCTTTTCCTGCTATGTAATTTTAATCCCTCAGTAGTGCTACTAGATCAATCTAAGTTATGTATATCTATTAAACTTTGAGATGTAATCTTGGATTGTATTCAGAACTAGATAAAAGGTACAGATATAAGTGAGAACACCTTGAATATTACTTAAGAAATTGCATAGATTTTCTCTCCTATTTTGAACTAATTTTGTTTACATCTGACAATTAAGTATAGCGGTAAAGCTGAACGACAGCGTTCACACAGAGCTGTTATGAACATTAGTTATGAACCTTAATGTTATGTTATTAGTTATGAACATTTCCTTTTCAGAAATCTCTTTCATAATCATCTTCTAGATAAAGGCAATCTGGGTCCAGATAGAAAAACATTATTCTTTTTCTTTTCACAACCATTCATTAGAAAATAGAGCATTTTTCCACATGACTTAGGAATTGAATGTCTGAGGGATCTGAAGCCATTAAAAAGCTTCACTGCTGGGAACCATAGAAAGCTAAAAATATCACACCACAGGCCTCAGGAAGCTTTCCAGCTCACAGTCTGTTTTGGCTACAAATTAGCAAACATGTCTTTGTGTAATTAAAGAAGAAAGAAATAGATTTTATTCCAGATGACTTGGAAAAAAACTCTGAAATCTTGATTTCTCTACTTATAGGCATTAAATAAAGAAAACCCATTTCCTTTAAAACACTAACTAATCTAACAGGAATGGCTGTTTTGTATGGGGAGACAGGGTAATGTAGTGAGGAAAAACAAAAGGGAATCAAAGAACTGAGAAGATCTTTGCTCAGTTATGTGGGCATACTTAACATCACAGAAACATCCTTGCATACTCATCAGCTTGTCTCCAATCTTTCATTATATACTAAATAATCAAAATATAATCTTTATCAATATTGTATGTATTTGTAAGCCTCTAAATTTCAATTCCATCTTTGCTTAAACTGAAACTTGAGTTCTTTACATCATTAAACTCCTTTTCTGGGTAAATTCCCCATACAAGCAGTTTAAAAAATGCTTTCAGTCTTCCTTTGACCTTCCAATTCAAACATGGTCAGTTAATGCTGATACCAGCCATATGATGATCTCAAGCATAGTGAAAATATTTCTTGACTGAGCTTGGGAAGCCAGCATAATGTCTGGTGAAAAATTACACTTATGGCAAAAAAAGTATGTAAAAAATGTTTTGGTAAATAAAATCAGGAATTTTTTAGAGAGCTTTTAATGATTTAAAAGTTTTTGGAATATTAAATGTTTGTAATTAAAAACTGAAGAGATCTGAAGCTTGATATTCCTTTAAAAGTTACTTATTTTCTATGAAAACCAGACATTTTAGGCCAGTATTCAGGGAACTGGAAAGAGTGCCCTGCTTCCAGCGATCTAAGTACACTGCCAGTAGTGATAATAGCAGGAGGAGAGGATCTCTGATATGTTCCAAACAGAGCCACTGCTTGTTCACACAGAGCCAAAATGCAGCTAATGATGCCCATCTGCACAGAGGTCAGCTTTTGCAAGTTCTTTTAAATAATAATATGCTGCACTCCTCTCTGAGAGGACTTGTCAGCTTAAACACAGAGCCACAATCAAAACAATTCTGCAGCATATCTAAAACAATAAATGCCTCTATAATGAACACCACATAGGAATTACAGTAGGTATTCTGTCAGGTCATCTTACTGTCTTGTGCTCAGCAGCTCTCCTTGCTGGAGTCTGGCTAGTTTTGACCACAGACACTTGCCTCTCAGTGTTCAAGTCTGCAGCTGTGATTAGCTTGGGCTCTCCCACACTCATTTTCATTCTACAAAATTATGCATGTCACCTCCATATCTTTAATGCAGGCGTAGAGGAGTACGAATTAATTTTGAAATCTCTTTTAAAAAGAGGCTATTATTACCTTGGGTGATGCTTGCTCACACTTCTGAGAGAGCTGCAATTCTCCATTGCCCCAGGCCAACCAGAGTGTGCACCTGCAGTCCCAGATTCTGGTATGAAAAGGGCAGGAACAATGCTGAGTAGCATGAACATTACAGAATGTTGTTTAAGTATTAGCCTATTTAAACGTTGAAAGTACTTCAATGGGCAAATTTCCTTAAGAAAATACTCCTGCATGAATTAATAAAGGGTCTGAAACTAACCTTGCAGGGAAGTGCCAGAGATACCAAGAAAACTTTGTTGTGAAGAACCATGAGATCCAGAGCCCTGAAAATAAAGCAGCAACATATAACATTCATTAAAACATATACTGTTTCACAGCTTGCCTCAGAAGAAATTACTGTGAATTGAAAAGAAGTGTCTGATTTAAATCAAAAAGTTTAATGATTCCTGTGAAACCCTATAAAGATTGTTTTCCCTTGTCCATCTATAAAATTAATGTCATTATTTCAAAAGGATAATTCCATAACTAAGTCAATATTTGAGACCATTTTCTCCAGTGACATTGTCTATTAAAATGGAGTAAAAACTTTCATTTATACCATTTCAAATGTATTAAATATGAAGAGCTTCATCACATGGATCCAGAAGATCTGACATCCCCAAGCCCCCAGAGCTGTAAACCATCCCTACTGACCAAAAAGCAGCGCAAGTATGCTATCCTTAGTTAAAACAGCTTGCAGCTCTAATCCATTCTTAAGCCCTTCTCCAAGTATCTAAAGGTGCACAGTTTTTTTTCCCCCAAGCTCCTTAAATACCTGACAATGAAAGTTGCGATCAGCAAAAAAGCTGGGCTTGCTACAGTTGTATGTGCTCAAAAAATCCATGCCACCTGTCTGAAGATTACCCTCTTTACTGTGGGAAGTCTCCTGACATTTGCTTGAAGAAAAACAATATTCCGGTATAAATTTCAGTCGCTTTACTGGTGAACAAAGAGGATGGTTTTGAAAATTTCCTGCTCTTTTAGCACTGGAAATTGCAGAGTAAGTTCTAACAGGAGAATTAACAAGAGCATTTACAGTTTCAGGCATCTGTATTTCTTCGTATTTCCTGAAATTTGAAGCTCTCTGAAGCCCAGGAAATTTTGGAACAGACTTCCCACACAGTTTCTTGAATTCTGTATCACGCTGTTTAAGGGACCTCTCAGAATCACTTAGATTACTCTTCACTACTGTTCCTTTCTCTTCATGGCTCTGTGAGTTTAAAAGAGGTCTTGTCAATGTCAAAGGTTTAAAGTATTCCCCAGAAATCACTCTGTAGTAGAGTTCGTCAAATGCAGCATCTATTTCTTCGTCCCTCTTTGAAGAATTCTGCTTCCAGGAGGAAAATGACTCTTTGTGCTGGAAAGAAGTTATTTTTTGAGGATATATGAACATAGTATTTGTTGATCTTGCAGGAGAAAAATTTATGGTAGACATAGAATTGTTTCTATTGCCATGGGAACTGCAAGCAGATGAACACAACTCCGAGGTACCAACACAAAAGTCCGCTTTCTGAGTCTTACTCTCTTTTACAAGATGAAACGCTCTTGAATCTGAACTGGCAGTAGACGTTATAAAACTGGGTTCTGAGGAAAGTTTGTAAGTAAATTTTTCACCTTCTATGTATTCTGAATTCTTTGGTGAGGCAATAGTCTGTAATTTATCTTCAACTAGAAATGTCCCTCCCATTCTATCCATAACATCAGGAAAAGCAGTATGTTTGCAGACTTCTTGACTTTTTCCAGATGCCAAATGTTGTTCTAAACTTGAGTCAGAGTAGTGCATTTTGGTTTCATTTGTATCAGCACAAGCATAAGGCACCAGAGCAGATGAATTACTAACGGGACAACTGTCAGAACAGAATTCCCTGCTCTCATTTCCAAAAGTTGGATTTTGGTTGTCTTCACTTCTACGGCTACACATGCTGTGGAATGCCTTCTTTGGTTTCCATTTACAAGATCCGGACTCTCTCATTTTGTCTACAGTAACATTGAGCTTTGGTCTTCTAGAATGCCGTCTCTTGGACCTTAAGTGTCCAAACATGTACTTCAACACTTTTCTCTGAGAATGCTTTGTCATAAGCTCTGTAAGTATCGCTAACATTGCTGGATATAAGCCTGAAAGAGTTGTACGGCTCAAGAAGCCTTCCTCATCTGCAGACTGGAATCCTCCAAGAATACTATCACATGAAGTCATGCTCAGTTCTGGACAAGGCTGCTGCCTGGGTGAGGCTACTGTATTTGATGGAAGGGGAACAGCAGAATGTTGTAACTGTGGATATTTGGATGAAGAACATTCATTTGAAAACTCTAGCTTCTTTTTGCAAACACCAGCTTGATTGCCTATTCAAAAAAAAAACCAAAAACCAAACAAAAAAACTACAGTCAGTCAAAAAAAACCCCAAAAACAAAGAAAAAATCCAAACATATTAAGGCACTTACAATAATATATTGTATAACTTCAAATAAACTGCATATGATTCAGATAAAATTACTGATTATTAAAAAGAACAACCTAATACACTTCTAATCATATGGACTTCACATAATAAAGAGGAAAGAAGTTAAATGTTGGAACACTGCATTATTCAAAAAGCATAATATGCAGATATTCACTGCAGAAGAAGACTTGTTTGCACTTTTGTGAAACCTGGTCAGAAGTAACAGCCTTATCCAAAAGGTTTTGTTACTTATTTGCTGTGCTCCTTGAAAGCTTTGTACTTGGCTGGTAAAAGTGCAGCTTTTGTTTTCTTAAATCATGATGAAAATATTGCTTTCAGTAGTTGTTAAGCCTAAAATATTTATACTAAAACTCATAGGACTGCAACCAGTCTGAGAAGCTTCTGACCAAAGTTCGCTGACAAAGTACCACTTTAACTACCAGCTGCCAGCAGACCCCAAGCCACAGTATTACATTCCTTGAGGTTAAAATACGCAGAACTAAAAACCACTGCCTACAGTGAGCTAAATCTAGCTGGATTTTAAACTATGCATATTAGTTCCTGAGGCTGCATGACAAAAGTTGGATTTATACAGACAATTTATTTGCTTTCTTTTTCCTTTTCTTTTGCTTTTATTTGTTTTTAAAATAGATTTTGCCATAAGAAAAATAATGTCTGACTTTCCTTTAAAATCCAGCCTATTGAAATTTTAAGCTGGATAAATAATGCCTTTGTTTACAGGAAATTAAATATTTCTCCTAATGAATTTCAATAAAACCATTTTTAAACAAATAGATTTGACCAACAGACAAAAGACTTAATTGTACCACGCAGTTCTTGCCCTGGCAAAGGTGAACGACGACTTTTTGACAAACTTGGAGTTGTTATCTGAAAAACATAAAAAGAAAAAAACAATCTAACATTCTGAGCTTTTTGCATGTTAAACATATCATCACAAACTTACTTGTGACTTCCTTGCCTCTTGCTGTTCTGGGTATGTACAGTTATGGTCTTTAAGGGCTCAGCCAAGTTCAGACAAAATGGAAAACATCTAGTCTAAGGCTTCAGTAGGAAGTTTTAGGAGTTACTAGTTTATTCTTGGAAAGCTATTCATCATTTTTTCAACTTATACATTACATGTCATGTATTAATCCCTACCCCAAATATAAGAATTTATCCATGGATATATATCCACACACACACTTGAGTAATCTACACATCTCTGGCAGCTCCAGCAGAAAAGAAAAGCTGTATCCTGACACTTCACCTCTGACCTTCCTTGCTCCCCAAATCAAAACAAAGCTAATTATTTTAATTTGAGCATCTACAAAGCTAAGACTTAGACTTTTAAGAAAACTGACAGCTCAAAGATCAGCCTGCACATCAGGGCTCCAAGAATAACATATAAAAG